CACGTCTAGATTCCTCCTCCTACTTATTCTCTCTCCCCGCCAGCCCTGCCTGTCCCTCTCCTGCCTGGCTATTGGCTGTTCAGCTTTTTATTAGACCAATCAGGTGCCTTAGGCAGGCAAGGTGAAACAGCAACACGTCTTCACATAGGTAAGCAAATATATCATAAACAAAAGTAACATATCTTTGCTTAGTTAAACAAATACTCTGTTCCACAACACACCACCATGCCTGGCTACTCCACATAAATTCATTCTAGGCAAATAGTTTAATTAAATTGATGTGTTAAGGTACAATGTCATAAAAGAAAATGTCATCACCTTTGCTGAGGAGTGCGAACAAGACTGTGGCCTGGCGCTTACTCGGCATTTGCAAGCATGGCATTGCTGTGTACAGCTAGGGGAAGGCTGCAAACGCCCTGCTCTTTCTGGGTAAAGAGTAGGTAGGCATGGGTGAGCTCTGAACTAAAAAACCCCACATGACTTGCGTGTCTCTTCCCTACATGAAGACTTGAGACTATCGGGAGAACGATCTGAGGTCGCCTTGGGTGGCTGATTCTGAGAATTAGGTAAACCTGTCACCTGTCTGTCACTACAATGAGACTTTTTGATGCACTCTGGTGTCTGCTGCCAAATAATTATCATCCATCTGGGACCTGAACTATGGCCTTGGTATCTTCAGTTCACACTCCACGACTCAATGGGTCGATTTGCAGGTTGTAGTTGGGGAAGGAGTAGAAACCTGCCTACAAGGTAGGCCTTGGCTAGGGGGTACATGGTAACAGTTTGGGTGAAATAAATTTACTTCAACTAAATGGCTATCGTAAGGACAAGGGGTTCTCTATGAACCCAGATGTCAGCCTTATCTGAATAACATGAAATGCTAACATGGGCTCCTCCCTGAAGCCGGGGCACTCACAAAGCTTTCTGAGAAACCAAAGAGAGAGGAACTTCTGTTCTGTCGGCTAATGCGGACAGTAGCTGGGAGCGACTGGGACAGTCCTGCCTCTGTCACCTGAGGTCCTCATTCTGTCCTCGGGGGAACTGAAACCATCCTTAGATCTAAGCCTTGGGTCCCGTCACCCCTGTGTTTGGCAGCTAGGAGACCCTGTTGCCTTCCACGCGTGTTTTGATCGTACAACACACGGAGCCTAGGAGATAGAATAGCCACATTATGTAAATTACAATCATCAGCCCCGGATAGATTTCTGCAGAATGTTTGCGGATAACTTCCTTCAGTGTCCTGAGACGTTGTACAAAGAACCATTGTGGGTGTTTCGGGGAGAAAGAAAAAATGAGATAGTCATCGGTACCATTTCTCCACTCTAGTATTGCGTGTGCTTGGAAGCCGACCAGCTTTCAAACAGGGTTTCAAATGTCAGCCAGAAGGTACTGAACATATAGGCCGGGATTCAATTTCCCCTGGCTTGCGAAGATCAGTTGGACTTGGGGTTAGTGCGAGGGGAGGAGGGAACAGTAACTGGTTTTAATAATATAATTCCCTGCCCTTTAATCTTTCCTAACGTTCTCCTTCAACTTGTATCCTTCTGTGCTCTCTCTCTCTCTCTCTCTCTCTCTCTCTCTCTCTCTCTCTCTCTCTCTCTCTCTCTCTCATATCCAGAGAGTTGGGCAATAAGAATGTCTTGTTTGAAGTTCCTTTAAAAAAATAACCATGAAAAGAAAGCAGCTATCGAATCACATACATTTCTCTGCACCGTAAGGGGTGGGGTGTGGAGAGCGGGGCAAACCAAGTGATTCTCCTCGTAGCCCAAGTCACAGTTAGAGATTTTGTTTGTTCTCCTGAAATTGAGCAAGCGTGTCAGATTCCCCCAGCGAAAACTAACGTGCTTAAACCATCTCTGAAAGCATTCCTTTGGAACTTCAGTGCCCCAGAATATTTTTGGTTTGATGAATGCGATTTCTGCTCTGAAGTTACAGACAGCTGTGAAGCCAAAGCATCTTCCCCAGACCCACCTGCCTATGGCTGCCAGCTGCTCACTGAGCTCTTAACCCAGAGAAGCGCAGGGGCGGGGAGGTCCCCAGTCAGCCCGAAGGGACACTCAGAACACTGTACCTGCCCTGCTGTTGCAGATGGCAGAACAGAGTCCTGTGCTGCCCACTTCTTTCTATTCCTCTCTTAAGAAAACAAAACAAAACAAAAAAACCCAAAGAACTATTTGGCAGTCCTGGGGATGGCGCTGCACCATAAACATAGCCCTCTTTTTGCCTTTCTTCTTGATGATCTGCCACTGAGAAATGCGCCTACCTCTGCTTTTTGTATATTTAGAGAGCAGGTCAGGGAGGAAGCTTAGCAGGCTGCTTGCTTGGCATGCAGGAGGCCCTGGGTACAACAGTCAGCACTAGAAAACAGAACAAGGACTGCCGTCCAAGTCGGGGCTCCCCTCTCTTCTACCAGGTGACTTTTCAAAGTCTGGGAGTCTCCCCTCCTTCTGCCTTGGAACCAGGATCGAAACCCAGCCCACAACAAGGCGTTCATGTTTGCTCAGCCAGCAAAAGATCACCGTGACCACACACTTTTAACTCCTGAGGAGTTAATTCCGAGGACCTTTTCATACACTTGGCTTAACTTACAGGCAGAATCGTACGTGTGGTTGAGTTACTAACACATTGACGTTACAGCTGATGGTTGATCAGAATAAAGTGACGTGAGGATCACGAACATAGGCTTACCCACCTGGGTGGGACACTGAAAGTGAGTTCCCCCACCTCAGAGCGGAAAAATATGTTAGCGGTCTTTCAGTGGCTTTAGGGGGATCCAAAAGATGGCTGGTTTCTAGCTGGTTATTTCTGAAAGGACCTCATCTCAAGGGAAGATGGCAGAGAGTGACAGAACAGGACACACCATGCCCTCCTCTGGCTTCTACATACGCTCACATGGGCAAGTACACACATGTGCACATATATACATCACATACCTACAAATAAATAAGTAAAAATCATATCCCAAAAATGTACTTATCTATCTGTACTAACTTTAGAAAAAGAACAAACAAACCCAAAATGGGGCTCATTTTTTAAAAGAGGCTTCTGTTGTTCCATCAGTTTTGTTTGCTGATGAAGTGTGTGTGTGTGTGTGTGTGTGTGTGTGTGTGTGTGTGTGTGTGTGTGTGTGTGTCTCCTGGGAAAACAAGGAGGTAGTTACACCAGCCTTTGAAGACTCCTTCCCTGGCGGAAACTTACCTAAAGATACGTTAATCTGACCTCTGCTCCACAGAGAGGAAGGAGAGCCCACAGGGTCTCAAGAATGAACGAGCTGGTGCGGGAACAGGCTGGGTCCTCAGTCTCTCTGGGGGGAGCCCAGTGTTCCAGCATCGCGGCCGGCCGGTCCGTACCTCTCCCCATGAAATCAGCTCGGCACCCGAGCGACACCAGGCTCACCTTTCCTCGGGGCCACGGTCACACCTGTCCCTTTCTACAGTGTTGGACAAGGTGTACAAAGGCAAAAGTAGATTTCCCCAGAATCTGCAGAGCATTTCTACACTCGAGAGAGGCCGTGGCCAGGGGAGAAGCAGGCGAGGGCAGTGGTTATCAAGTGCCTTCCTCGGCATCCACAGTTAAACAAACATCCTGTGCCATGACTTACTTCCCAAGTGACCAAGCCATGAAAGTATTTATATGTATATACATAAACAACTAAAAGTCAAAAAAAAAAAAAAAAAAAAAAAACCTCTTTTGCCCATTCAATTGCAATGAATTCTGAGGTTTCATCAAAAACTTTTAGTCACCCATTGAAAGGATTTTAATATCATCTAATATATTTATATAATTATTCTTTTATTTTATTTATTTACTTGTTTGTTTGTTTATCTATCATTTATTTATTGGTTTTTCGAGACAGGGTTTCTCTGTGTAGCTTTGGAGCCTGTCCTGGATCTTGCTCTGTAGACCAGGCTGGCCTCGAACTCACAGAGATCCTCCTGGCTCTGCCTCCCAAGTGCTAGGATTAAAGGCGTGCACCACTGCCGCCCAGCTATATAATTATTCTTTATCAATAAAAAATCGGGAGTCAGATATCGGGAGTAAGCACCTGAAAGACCAGAGAAGCAACCAGTGACCTTCTATCTCTTCTGGTCCTCCATCCAAAAGGACTGAAATCCTCTCTAAGCCCCGCCTTAACTACTTCATATCTCTTTATCTATCCTCAGTCCTCCAGAACCTCTATGGTTAATTTTGGTCAGTTAGTGGCTAGCTCTGCCCTCTGAGTCAAAGCAAACTTTATTGCCAGAATGCAATCAAGCTATCACACAATACTCCTCTTTATGCATAGGACACAGATCTGTGGCTTTACCTCGTGGCACTCTCCCTGGGCTGTGATCTCAGGTCCTCCTGCCCTCCCGCAGCTGAGCATACCTTTGGCTTCACTACAACACCCTACAAAACACTTTGCCAGGAGCCATCCTAGCTGAATTGATATCACCCAAGGACCTTCTTGTGGGCCTACCCAGGATGTTGCCCACAAAAGTAGATGCTATTCGAAGACCAGGCACAATCATATCTTCTCTTTCAGGATGGTAAGTTGTGCCTTTGAGCCTTCTCTTTAATTTCCTTTTCGAACAGGAGAGGCCAATAAAGAGTTGCAAACCTGCCCATTCTCCTCTGTGACCTTGGGCAAGGTGCTTACACTCTCTGATGCTCAGTCCCTTGGTTCATGAAGTTTGTTTGTTTGTTTTTAACTCCTCTGTTGTAAAATATAAAAGCAATATTTAAATGCAAAGAAATTGTGAACGATAAAAATGACATTTGAGCGTGAAGCCGCCCTCTCAATTTTAAAGTAAATGTTAGGTGTGATTATAATTGTACTCATAACGCTGTAGTCCACGGTGCAGTAGAATTAAATGTGCAGATGACGGAGTGAACTGAAGCTCTGGGCTGGTTCCAGGTTCTTCTCTGACACTGATATTGACAATCTAGCAACCTCGTTAATGTTTGCTTAAAGTGATCGTTAAACTTAGTATTAAGTTGTAAGATGTTGCCTAGCAAACCACCTTCAAACCGATGGACACATTCACACAGACAGCAGCAGTAAGGCAGTGGCCCAGCAGGCTTTGGTGAGGGGGAATGGGGAGCTATTGTTTCATGGGTACAGAGCTTTAGCGTGAGATGATGGGGACCTTTAAGATTGATGTGGGTGTTGGTTGCATAGCAATGTGAGCGCACCTACTGCCCTTCAATTGTACTCTTGGAAATGGTTAAAGCTGGGCTGGGGCATGCTCGGAGGCAGTGTGCATTGTTAGCAATGGTAAAAATTGTAAATTAAAAATGCAACACTTTTAGAATCAAATTGGGGGCGGAGTTTAGCAGGTTTAACTTATCTCTGCCCTATGCGATGTCTCTTGGGACAGTGTGACAAGGAGTATCTTTCTTTGTTCTGTTGGTGGGCACTCTGAGCAGAAGGCCTCTGTTCACTCTCTGTGGCCTCTCAGCCTCCAAGGCCCCCTCTCTACATGTGTTCTGTCTGTGGCTGGATGGCCTAGACAGTTGTTTGTCTTCTGCAATGCAATGCTGGGAGCCGATCCAGAGCCTGGTGCCTGCCAGACAAGTACTCTGTTACCGAGCTACCTTCTCACTGGGGCTTTAGACTTCTTTACAAGGCAATTAGGATCTAAGAAAAATGAGACGCTTCAGACTGCTTAAGGCTTGGCTTGATGTCTCATAAAAATTAATTACACCACATCTTCTTGCTTCAATGAAGCCATCATGCTGCCACGGATTCCACATGGGAGCAAATGGTCCAAGATTTCAGAGGCCAGTGGTTCCTTCAGGGCCATTATATGACAATGTGCACACACAGTCTCTGTATCAGTTTGTTACCCTGTCTCCTTACCTTGAATTCTTCTCACCATCTATGACTAGCAGGGTCATGACTAAGAGGAGGGACTCTGAGACCTCAAACCTCAACTCTGCCGTTTGTCACGGGACCTGTATCAAGTTATTTGTCTTCTCTGTGTTTCAGCTTCCTTGTCGGATTAGGAAGACAGAAAGGAAGAAAGAAAGAAAGAAAGAAAGAGAGAGAGAGAGAGAGAGGGAGGGAGGGAGGGAGGGAGGGAGGGAGGGAGGGAGGAAGGAAGGAAGGAAGGAAGGGAAAAGGAGAAGCACATAAAAGTAAGAAGACTTGGGGCTGGAGAGATGGCTCAGTGGTTAAGAGCACTGGCTGCTCTTCCAGAGGACCTGGGTTCAATTCCTAGCACCTACATGGCAGTTCACAGCCGTCTGTAGTGCCAAGATCTGACACCCTCACACCAATGTACATAAAATAAAAATAAATTAAAAAAAAAAAGTAAGAAGACTTTATTGTAGACATAAGGGAGAAAGCGAGCATTGGGTTGAACCTGGCTGACTGACTAAACTGGACCATGAGAGGAGAGAGGGGGAGGGGGACCCAGAGAGGAGCCGCTGACTAGGAAAGAGACAGGCTTAGCCACAATGGCTGAGTTATATAGGGATCAGACTTGGGATTTGAAATCCAGGCCCTGGGAGGAAGAGGTTTAGGGCAAGGGGGCGGGGTGAGAAGTGTTGGGAGGAACCACAGGTACTGAGTGAGACTGGTCCCAGGTTTCCTAGAGACTTAACACTTATCTATAAGATGAATCTGGCAATAGTATTTACATCATCATGTTGCTGTGAGGATCGAAAGAGTGGATATAAATTAAAGACAAAATAAAGAACAGCAAGACCTGAAAACAGGGCCCGTGCCAAGCATGGCAGTACAGGCCTGTAACACCAGCACTCTGGATAGTGAAGCAGATGGACTGTCTCAAGTTCGAGACCGGCCTAGGCTACATAGTGACTATCAGGCCAGCAAGAGGTACACAGTAAGACACTCTCTCAAAAACAAAACAAAAGCAAGCCAGTAAGCAGCACTCCTCCATGGCCTCTGCATCAGCTCCTGCCTCCAGGTTCCTGCCCTGTTTGAGTTCCTGTCCTGACCTCTCTGGATGATGGACTAGAGGATGAAATACAACCCCCCCACCCCACCCCACCCCACCACCACCACTAAGCAAAACAAAAGCCCCTAGAAAACGGGTGCACAAAGAATGAACTATAATATAAGCATTTGCTATTATTGTTGTTGTCACTGTTGATGTTAATAAACATAAAAAAACGAGTGTGGCCAAAAGGGACCACTGAAGAACAGCATAAGACAGACAGGCAGGCTGGAAGCCACCCAGGACCTCCCTGCCTCGCCGGGCTCTCCCTTCCGTTGAAATCTCCCACTGACATTTAAGCTTCCTTCCTTTTGTTGTGCCCGCAGGAGACGCGGAGACCAGTTCATCAACATCTCCGCATGATAATCCTCCGAGCACCTGAAGCCAGCCTTGGGAGCTCACGGAGCTGAGGAGGCTGATCTGCAGAGGTCATTGAGTGGAGGCTGCCTGCGTTTAAATGCCTGTAAATCTGCACTCCCCGAGTGACCACAAGGTTAGGAATGGGTGCTTCCCCTTCCCTCCACCTCCTTGGGTGGCTGGAGTCTCACGCCTTGTTTTCCTTGGGTCCCTAGGGAGGTGTCTTCCCTTTCTTTGACCTTAAGCCTGAAATGGGCTTCTGAGGACCAGGGGAGATGCCATGTGTATGTGTCTGGCTCTCCCCTGGCTCAAAACAATGGCCGGGGCCAAGAGCCAGCCACCTCGAGCATCTCATTAGCACCTATTGTTTACTGTGGAGTTCTTTCTGAGCTCGCCAGTGGCTCTAATCCTTAGCACCTTTCAAAGCTCATCTTCCGGGGCTGTCTGCAGTACCAGCCTGTTAGTTTTGAGGGAGGCTGTATAGAGTATTTTATTAGAGCCAGAATGCCTGGGTTCAAGTCCCGTCTCTGCCTCTTACCACACCTGTGACCTCGATGGAGTCATATAACTGTTTCTTCATCCATAAAATGGTCTTGACGTTGATAATAATGTTATAAGATTGATTGAAAATTTAAAAATACAAACCTCTTAAGAGGGCACACACAAATCTCAAACTATGTTCTGGAGAGGTTCCTGGAGGCCGGCAGGATGGTTCAGCAAGTGAAAGTTGCTGCCTAAAGGTCAGAGATTGATCCCGGAAGTGCATATGGGGGCAGAGAACTTACTCCCAACAAATTGTCCTCTGACCTCCATACCTGTGGGCTCTCTGTGTCTCTCTCTGTCTTTGTCTCTGTCTCTGTATCTCTCTGTCTCTCTCTCTGTCTCTGTCTCTCTCTCTCTCTCTCTCTCTCTCTTTCTCTCTCACACACACACACACACACACACACACACACACACACACAGTCTTCTGGGACACTTGGCTCCTTTCCTACCCCCTGGACCACTCCTGTGTCCACGGAAGTCTTTGATCCTGGACTCTTCTTGATTTTATGTTGTTACAAGAACCCAGCCATAAGGCCTCACTCTGGGTCGAAGCTCTCATCAACATTATTAGAAAAAACATAATACAGACAGAGATGGAAAAATGGATTTATTTACAGTTTTAGTCAAAGGTGAGTGAAGAGGCATTCTCAGCCTTGCTCACAGCAGTGTGAGAGCTTACAGAAGTGTCACAAAGGTCGGGAAATACGCATATGGAGACCGTCTTTCTCCCAGAAGACAAGTGTTAGGGTCAGCTCCTGCAGGCAGCCCATTTTCACTCAGCATGGAGTTTTCCTAGAGGAGTCCTAACTCCCCCCCAGTTACAATATGACTTTCCATATGTTTTACACCCTTTGATCTAATTACTGTTGCCTTCCAACAACAGCTGTTTCTCCTCTTCTTCCTCCTCCATCCATTTCTTTATCTGGATGATCCAAGTTTCCTAAGTTTCAGAAGGCCTAAAACGTCTGCCTGGGATGGAATACTAATTGATGTCAATCAGACTAGTCACCCATCATTTAAAACCGTCACTAGTCATCCCTTTGCACCAGGGTGGGGAAGGAGGGGGAAGCAGAGGGTAGACGGGGAGGTTGTGGAAGCTGTAAGGCAGGGGATGGGCTAGAGGGGGTGGGGGTGGAGGACGAACACAATTGCACTAAATCAGACAGAATACATAAGTCAACTCCTCGGGAACTGACCTACAGACAGGACAAGCCTGGGGTCTTTGAGAGAAGAGAAACTCACCCTCGCTTGTTATCTAGGGCAATTTCCTGATGGAAAAGCAGTGATCTGCGGTCTAAGGAGGGAGAAGAGGACCCGCTGAACGCTAGCCTAGGGGCCTCGTGGAGACTCCTTGGATACTTGCTGACCTGTGGAAGGATTACCAGTTCCTCTGGGCTGAAAGCTGAGCAGAAATACTGGAGTTAAGACTGGAGACACTGGCCTGGCGATGGAGGTGCTGGCCTTTAATCCCAGCACTTGGGAAGCAGAGGCAGGTGGATCTCAGTGAGTTCAAGGCCAGCCTGGGCTACAAAGAGAGTTCCAGGACAGTCAGGACTGTTACACAGAGAAACTCTGTCAAAAAAAAAAAAAAAAAAAAAAAAAAAAAAGGAGACCATGGGAGTGTGGCTCAGTAAGTGGAAAGCCACATTAACATTTCACTGATGGCAACTGACATCCAGCCTGGAAGGCAGAAGGAATGTTTGTCTTCCCTTCTTCTCCCAGTTGCTGTGATAAAAGCATCCTGACCAAAGCAGCTTCAGAGACAAAGAATTGAGTTGGCTCCCAATGCTCGACTACAGTCCATCATTGCAGGGGAGTCAAGACGGTGAGGGCCTGCAGCAGCTAGTCACGTCATATCCGTGATCAAGAGCAGAGGGCCATGAGTTCGTGCACGCATGCTTATTGCTCAGCTCCCATTCCCATTCAGCCCAGGCTCCAGCCCATGAGATAACGCCAACCACATTCATGATGGGTCTTCCCACCCAAGTTAGACCACTTAAGACAGGCGTGTTCAGAGGCCCATCTCGCAGATGATTCTGGTTTCAGTGAAGTTGATAATTAACTCTAACCAGAACAATGTTCTAGAACAATATTTCTTGTGGTGCTATCCCTTGACCAACAGCACCACTATCACCTGGAAATCTGTCAGATGGACTATTGGAAATGAAAACTCAGGCCAGAGCTGGAGACAGAGCTCAGCTGGTAAAAGCACTGGCTGCTCCTGCAGAGGACCTGGGTTCATTTCCCAGCACTCACATGGTGGATTGAAACTATTTGTAACTCCAGTTCCAGGGGATCCAACACCCTCTTACCTCTGTGGGTACCAGATTGCACATGGTACATATATACGTACGTAGGAAAAACACTCATACACATAAAATAAATAAATCTCTATTTTTTTTTTTTTTTTAATTCAAGGACTCTCTCTCAGAACCACCGAATTAGATACTTAAAGAAAGAAGACTGGAAACATAAGCCGTGAGAACTGGCTCATGCAGTTCTTTGATGTTTTGTTGAGACAGATTCTCACTCTGTAGTCCTGGCTAGCCTGGAACTCACTATATCTACTGTTGGTAACTTACATTGATCCTCTGGCCTCAGCCTGCCAAGTGCTGGGATGACAGTTATGTGCCACGCTACCTGGCTTCCCTACTGCAGTCAGCACAAACTAACGCTTGAGAACCATTGCTCTAGAGAAAAGCCCGCACACACTAACTCTGTGCAAAGTCTAAAACTCAGCTTTGACAAGTTGCACAGAGCAGAGGCAGGTGTGCTCAGAGCAACATTCAGGAGACCGAGGCAGGAGGGTCATGATTTTGAAGCCGACATAGATAGATGGCTGCATAATGAGACCCTCCCCTCAGAAAGAAAAGAAGAATGGTCCCTGGGACACTTGGGTCCTTTCCCACCCCCTGGGCCACTCCTTGTGTGTCCCTTTTATGCCTTATTCTTCATTCAGTCAGGAATTTCGTGGTTTCCCCAGGACTCTTTGATTCTGGACTCTTCTTCACTTTATGTTGGTACAAGAACCCAGCCATAAGGCCTGGCTCCGAGTCCAAACATTTGCCAAGATTAGCTGGAAAATAACATACTATAGAGAAAGAAGAAAGGAATGAAAGAAATACAGAAAGCGAGTCAGAGATTGGGTCTAGCAGACAAGAACACTAAAGCAACTATTATAAACATAACCCACGAGTTAAAGGAAAATATAATCTTATTGAACAAATAGGCAGGGAGGGGACTTGTACCACTACCCTTGGCGGAGTAGGGGTGATTGAAATAGAGTCTCACTTTGAAGTGCAGGCTGGTTTTGAACTTGCATCGATCCTCCTACCTTAGCCTCCAAAGTGCTGGGACTGTGTGCATGAGATAGCATGTCACTTTTTTCCCTAACATTTCTCACAGGAACTCACTGCAGAGCCGCCGAGAACCATATCAACCAGTCTGATTGATGGCAGTGTCCCAGCGAGCTAATTACCTCCCGCAAGGTTCTACCACTTCCCAACTCAGCTACCCCGAGGATCCAGTGTTCAGTGCATAAGCCTTTGGGGGACACACTCAAATCATAGCTGTAAGCAGCTTCTTCATCGACAACACATCCATTGCTCTTGGTGTTGAGCAGGGTCAACTCTCCACGGCCACGACTGGACTGCTCCTCTAGCCTCATTGCCCACTGATACCCAAAGGTCCTTGGATTCCGTCACACTCAGTGGCCACCCTACTCCTGCTGTGTTGGTTGTGTTTGTCATCCAAGGTTGTTCCTCGGGTGACATGTGCCTACCAGGCTGTTTGTCTTCAAAACTGCTCAAACCAGCCAGCTCAGTGTGGCTCAGTTTGTAGAGCGCTTGCCTAGCATGCACCAAGCCCCAAGTTTGATCCTCAGCACCATATAAACCGGTAGGAGTCCCATACACTGTGATCCTAGGGATCAGCAGGGATGTGGAGGCAGGATGGGAAGGGAAATGTCACCTTCACTGTTGGGATCCTGCCCTCACTCCGGCACATGAGCAGCCTGAGGTCTTGCGTCTTATGTCATCGGCGGCCACGAGTGACTACGTACCCACCTTAAAACGCCAGACACAGAACCCCACACATTCTCTGTTCCCTCTCTGCTCCCTGCCCTCTGCTCCCGCCATCTTTCTTTCTCTCCAGGCCTGGCTCTCCTTCCTCCTATCCTCTCCTTCTTTCTAATAAAGCTCTTTGTAACTCTGGTAGTCGTGGCCGTGACCTGTGACTTTTCCGCTGGTAACCAGCACCTCCACCAGCGCCATTTATCATCACATCATTCACTACATAGCCAGTCCTCGGAGCTGGATCGGGATGAGGTCCTGTTTGACTGAAGGAGAAGGAGGAGGAGGCGGAGGAAAAGGAGAGTGGGGGAGAACAAGGCTTGAAGAATTGCTGCACACTTTCTCCCTTCCCTTCATCTCCAGCATCCTCGGATGTTTGTTGCCGCATTTCTGCTAAGAATAAGTCCCTCCCGTTGCATCCTCAGAACCTATAACCTCCCCTTCATTTCCATCATCAGACTTATGACCTGGGAAGAGTCTGCCTGAGACTTTCCAGTCAACTTCCCCTTCTTTCCAATTTGATCAGTGTGGACCACAATAGCTTCTGGAATCTATATTGTCCACTGGTACCAGATTAGCATGATTCTACATCCAATAGCAAAACTTCTGGATAAGAGAACTCAAAAGCCCTAATGAATAGTCAACATATTCTCTAAGCTTCTCAAAGACCAGATGGGCTAAGGATGGAGATGAGGGTGAGCTATAATTACTGAATCTGGAAATAGGGGGCTAAATGGACCTGCACACGCCACGTGCTGTGGAGCCCATGGGCTCGTAGTGACTTGGAGAAAAGTCCGCCCAGAAAACTGCTTATGCGGGTTATAACTTCAGAACAAAAGAAAATGAAGGCTGGCAGTTAGAGGAGGCATGACTTAGTGTCCAACCTCAGAAACAACACATTGGCTTGCTCCACGTTGGGCCAGCAGTTTATGGACCTGGAAGAAGTCAGTAGCTGCGGTCAGCAGAGAAGACAGAAACTGCTTCTGGAAAGCAAAGATGCCTCCAAAGTGACAGAAGATTTTTTGTTTTGGGACAGGTTCTGGCTGGCCTGACACTTGCTATGTAGCCAGGCTGACCTTGAACTCACAGTGATCTGTCTCCTAAGTGCTGGGATCAAAGGTGTGCATGGCCAGCCAATATTTTTTTAATTATTTATTTTTTGAGATGATAATGATTACGTCATCCCCCCTTCTTTTCCCTCCCTCCACACCCTCCTGGACCACCCTCCCTTCTCTCTTTCAGATTCATGCCTTCCCACCATTGATTGTTGTTGTTTTATTGCCCCTTCCCCAGAGGCAAAGGCAGCTCCAGCCAATAGTTGGTGGCTGCGAAATAGAAGCTTTAAGATTACAGATAAGAAAGCTTGAGCAACCGCACAGCTGTGCTAGTGTTGGTTGGGAAAAATGTGTCATATGATATGGCAAATGCACCTGTTTAAATAGCTGGGCAACTGTGCAGGAGGTCTGCCCAGAGTTTAGCATATTGTGTGTGTGGGAAAAAAAAAAAAAAACCCACAACAATTTAAAACAACAAAAAAAAAAAAAAAAAAAAAAACCAATAAAAAAAAAACCCGCTCATTCCCAATAGAAAACGAGCTCCAAGTGTGCTTTCCAATGACAGTAGCTGAAGCCACATGTGTCTGTACAGTCTTATAATGCCAGCACGTGGAAGGTGGAGGCAGGAGGATCAGGCTTTCCTTATGAATGCCTGGCCTTAGCTTGGCTTGTTTCTAGCCAGCGTTTATAACTAAAATTATCCTGTTTCTCTGTAACTACATTTTGCCTCTGGGCTTTTTCACCTTTATTCTGCATATATTTCTTTCCTTTTTACTCTGTGGCTGGCTGTGTGGCTGGACCCTGGCATCCTCCTCTCCTTTTCCTGCTCCTCTCAAGTCTAGTGTCTCCTATTTATTCTCTGCCTGGCAGCCCCACCTATCCTTTCTCCTGCCTTGCTATTGGCCATTGAGCTCTTTATTAGACCAATCAGGTGTTTAGACAGGCACAGTAACACAGCTTTACAGAGTAAACAAATGGAACATAAAAGAAAGCAACACATCTTTGCATCATTAAACAGATGTTCCACAGCATAAACAAATGTAACACATCTTAAACCAATATTCTACAACAATTTAGGTCATGGGCTTGGCAACAAACACCTTCCCTTTTTGAGCCCTCTCACCAGCCTCAATATTAAGTTTTCTTTTGTTTTGTTTTGTTTTTGTTTTTGTTGTTGTTGTTGTTGTTTTTCGAGACAGGGTTTCTCTGTGCAGTTTTGGTGCCTATCCTGGATCTCACTCTGTAGACCAGGCTGGCCTCAAATTCACAGAGATCCGCCTGGCTCTGCCTCCCGAGTGCTGGGATTAAAGGCGTGTGCCACCACCTCCCGGCTTAAGTTTTATTAGTGAAGTATCCTTAATGTTGATTAGTACAGTCTGGTATTTGTAAGTAATTGCTGGTCCTCCATTTTCTGAATGTATTCAGGCAAAAGACCAGGAACCTGACCAGTCATTTTTTATCTCAGATCTAAATGAATGACAAAAATAGAAATTGCAGGCGGGGTGAAATTATTTGCTGACATTTCATGCAGCATTTCAGAGATGGAGGTATATTCCATTTCCAGTCAGTCACTGTTCCATCTGGGGGTGCCGGGATAACTAGAAAAGAAAGTCAAATATTCCTCTGGTCAATTTATGTATCAGGGGACAAGATGACTGGGGGGGGGCGGCTATAAAAGTGTTTGCTGAGTGAGTCTAACAACCTCAAGTCTGTCCTCAGAATGAGAGTAAAGATGGAAAGAGAGAACCATCTCCGCAAAGTTCTCTGACCTCGACACAGACGCCTCCTTCCCCCTACACATAGCACACATACAATAATAATAAATACAATTTAACTTTTTTGTTTCTGTTTTGTTTTTGTGAGACAGGGTTTCTCTGTGTAACAGCTTGGCTGTGCTGGAACTCTCTTTGTAGAGACCAGGCTGGCCTCAGACTCACAGAGATCTGTCTGCCTCTGCCTCCCAAGTGCTGGGATGAAAGCCGGGCGCCACTACACCCGGCACAATTTAACATTAACAAAAACAATATGTATTGAGAGCAGAGTATGTAGCTAATGGGTGGAGTGTTGTGGGATATTTACACACTATGAAAATGTATTGCTTTAATTGATATAATAAAAAGCTGAACGGCCAATAGCTAGGCAGGAGAGACAAGCGGGACTTCAGGGAAGAGAAAGGAAGAGGATAAACAAGGTTCTCGACGGGCGGTGGTGGTGCACGCCTTTAATCCCAGCACTCAGGAGGCAGAGCCAGGCAGATCTCTGTGAGTTCGAGGCCAGCCTGGGCTACCAAGTGAGTTCCAGGAAAGGCACAAAGCTACAGAGAGAAATCCTGTCTCGAAAAACCAAAAAAAAAAAAAAAAAAAAAAAAAAAGGTTCTCAGGAGACGCCGTGGAGATGCAGACTAAGTTGGAAACACAGAATGGGAGAGAGGTAAAAGCCACATGGTAGAATGTAGATTAATATATATAGACTAATTTAAATTATCAGAGCTGGTGGGATGAGCTTTCATGATTAATAATAAGTCTCTGTGTTGTTATTTGTGAGCTGGTGGCCCAAATAAAAATCTAACTACAGCAAAGCATGTGATAAGCATATATGAAGCCTTGGGTTCAATCCCTAGCTCCTCCTCCAATCCAACTTTTAAAAACGATTAATTTTTGTATGTGTGTGTGTGTGTGTGTGTGTGTGTGTGTGTGTGTGTGAACGTATGTATGCTCACAAGCACGTGGGTGCCCTTAGGATCCAGAGGAAGGCATTGGATCCCTTGGAGCTAGAATTATTGGCAGCTGTGAGCTGTCCAATGTGGTGCTGGGAAATGAACTCTGGTCTTCTGTAAAGCAGAAAGTGCCCTTAACCACTGAGGCATCTCTCCACACCCTCCCCTGCCCAACAAAACTTACTGCCTCTAATTGAGCACCTGCATTTTAAGTTAAAACCTAATTGACTTTCTCCAGTTTTAGAAAGAAATGAAAGATGGTCTTTGTTCTGAGTTTTCCCCAATGGTGAAGACTTCTCAGTTTTTTTTCCCCCAAAAAATACTTTGAATATCAAAAACTGGAGCCAAGCCAGGCAGTGGTGGCACACGCCTTTTATCCCAGCACTCGGGAGGCAGAGCCAGGCGGATCTCTGTGAGTTCGAAGCCAGCCTGGGCTACCAAGTGAGATGCAGGAAAGGCGCAAAACTACACAGAGAAACCCAGTCTCAAAAAACCAAAACAAAACAAAACTGGAGCCGGCAGGCTACCTTAGCATTCTGAAATTCTCTGTGGTGCAGAAGCAGGCCACCTTGAAATGTTGGTGGTATTCGGTTTTACAGAAAAGAACAAAAAGAACGGAAGTCCGTCTGAAGTGCGGATGGACAGCACTGGGCCTTTAGAGCAGGGTAGGGGTCAGCCTGGCAGAGCACCAGGGGTAGCGACCGCATAGGATGGCTTCTGAGTCAGTCACTGATGCTCCGGGCTGTGTTTGCTTCTGTGATTCATCCAGGTCAAGCAGGGGGCAGGCTTTAGGGAGATGGTGCCGGAGGAAATGGCGTGTAGCTCCTAATGTGCTTTTCTAAAATTGTTATTGATTTTATATGCTTAAACACATAGTTTATCTTTAAAATTTCAATAATCAGGGCTGGAGAGACGGCCCAGTGACTAAGAGCAATGGCTGCTCTTCCAGAGGAACAGGCTCTGATTCCCAGCGCCCACAGGGTAGCTCACAACTGTCTGTAAACCCAGAACCAGAGGCTCTGATGGGCTCTGGCCTCTGCAGACATCAGGCGTGCAAGTGATAGACAGACATGCCTTCTGGCAAGACACCCAGACACAGAAAATAAATGAGTCTTTAAAATAAAAAGGTAGAAAATTCCAAATAATTTTACAATAGGACCCGAGGTTCTTCCGTTTATTGGACAGATGAATTGGTTAAAATGAACCACGTGTGATAGTTCAATTAGAAACAAAAATTCATGATACGTTTAGTCATTTACAACTACAATCTCAAGCCAGGGAGTGGCTCATGCCCATAATGCTAACACTTTGGAGATCGAGGCAGGAGGATTGCAATGAGTAATGGCTAGCCTGGACTACAGTGAG